TGCAGCTTCTACTGCACAGTCTGCTGCTAGCGCAGTTCATGCTGGCACTAAGGAGCTGACTTCCAAGGTATTTCCCCCTTACTCTGTACCCCATGTCTAAATTTTGATATCAGTAGGATTTCCTCTATTTCCTGAAACTTACTGTAGCTGAATTATTGCCTACTTTCCATGATACAAAATCTGGGAGATCCGCCATAAATGAAACCTGAAACCTTCTGCAGCTAGAGGCACCTGTCGACTAACTCTTCTCGTGTCTTTTACTTTCCCCATGTTCCTCTTCTTATGCCGAGAGGTTCTGTGGACGTTATGACGAGAGGTTCTGTGGACGATTTTTGAATTTACATACCCATTGATTTTGCATGAATTCTAAAAGCCTGGAATTCTGTGCCATCACGTATGTTCGCTCCATATGACTCCCCAGAATAAAATTTATGCAGGATATCAACTTACAATCTGTCTTCTTTATTTAACTCAGCAATATCTTGACTCCTTCAACATATGTTTCTCAAGTCCACAGCAGAGTCCGAATTATCATATACTCTGATTCAGTTAGCCCCTTCCTTAGTAGCTCTAGTTGATGTGATGTTTTGCCATCAGAGATGGCTCTTGGAGTTTGTGTAAATCTGTTATGTCTTATTATGGAAAGGCAGGTTGTTATTTCTTCAAATGTCAACGAATGGGGAATGTTTTTGCTGAGTTAGTGCACATTTTGAAGTGCAGGTGAAAGAGAGGGGATATGATAATACAGTAAATGAAACAGTAAGGGTGGTCACCACAAAAACAAGTGAAATTGGACAAAGGACTTGGGGATTCATGAAAGGTGTTGTGGCATTGGGCTCAAATAAAGTTGAGGAGTTCACCAACGAAGGGGATGACTGGTAGTGCAGGGGGGATCAGAGCGATGGTTACTACCAAGAGTTTGAGCATGAAAACAAGAGCAAGAGCAACATAAAGCATTCATCAAACCAAGAACACAGTTTCAAAGCTTCAGGTTCTTGGGATGATTGTGATAAGGAAATCTACTCCGATATTGATGCCAAATTAAAAACTAATTAACAATATCCTAGTAATATGATATACACAAGTGATATATGCAAGGATATATAATAAACAATATAACACAATAGGCGATATAAACTTTGAGACAATAGGCGATATGAAAATATACACAAGCATAAGTGCGCCAATGCCAAACACAAACAAGCAATATGATCACGGAGTTCGGTCAACCCTCGACCTACGTCTCTGCTTCTCACCTCTAGGAGATTATCCACTAATCACAAAATCACTACACAATCTCGGTTTTCAAAGCTCACCGAAAACTTTTACAATCACACATTGTCAATCCCACAAGACACTTCTCTAAGTGTTGGACTACCCGTGTCACCTTTCTCAAGTGCTTGAAATTATTACCCCTCCCTAGGCTTTTACAACCAAGCCACTCCTCTTGCCGGTCTTTCCCAATCACTCTTCTAAGTGTCCTTGTGTATTACAATGTGTTTCACAAGACTAAGTGCAAACAAATGATTTGTTCTCTAACAAAGATGAGAACGAAGATTAAGCTCACTCAATGATACAACTCCACAACCCAAATATACGATATGTGAAATACTAAAGCTTAAGTGGTTGTGTGCATAATCAATGAATAAAATGAAATTTAAACTCAATTAAATCTAGCACATATAAATGATAATCAAAATGAAGATAAGCTAGATAACGAGTTTAGAAAAACTTCTCTAAACAAAGAGGGATGAAGATTTGAGGTAAAAACTCCTCAAGGATGAAAATGAAATCATCCTCTTTGTGAAACTTTCTTCACATAAACAAGCACACAAAAACTTGGAAATAAACTGGTGTAAACACTCTTGAAAACCTTATAAAAACTTGTTAAAAACAAAAATGAGTTGAGGGGTATTTATAACCTCTCAAATGAACCAAACATAAAACTAACCGTTACAGTCAAATCGGTCGTCTGATGAGATGAGTGAATCGGTCGACTGATAAGATGACTGTTAGCTACAGTCATAAAACAATCGGTCGACTGATTCAAATAATCGGTCGACTGATAAAGATCGGTCGACTAAGTAGAAACAAAATTAAAAACGCAGAGCAGTTTATCGGCCGGCTGG